GGATCAGGTAACACTCAGCTGATGCTGACTCCCCCTCTTAGTAAGTGTACCTGAAGGTGGAATCACATTAGTGTTAAGACAGTATCAGATTTTTGGTGCAGTGTGTTTGATACATGAGAAATGATATTATGTGTTCTTGTTACTATAAAATTTCAAGAGAATTAGCAGAGCAGAAAAGAAAAAAACAACCCTAAAAGAATATTCATGATAAATATATCTATAATATTCCTCTCTCTTTTTTAGTGTTACCTGTTCCACATGTATGTGGGTGTAAGAGCTGGTGGTGGCATAGGAGATGAAATTGAGGATCCTGCTGGAGACCCTTATGAAATGTACCGAATTGTCTTTGACATCACATTTTTCTTCTTTGTCATTGTTATCCTACTGGCCATTATTCAAGGTACCATCACTTACCTCAGTAGACTTGTTCAAAATTAATTCACCATTGAAAACCGTATTTATATTTGAGGTAAATTTAGCAGTACTACTGTAAAGACTTATTTCTGAGTTTATAAAATCATTAATTCTGAAAGTAATAATTTTATATTAATTCATACATAATACACCTTTTCCCAGTACTACACAAAATCAAAGCACAAGGAATGTTACTTACATGGGCTGCGGTGTTTATGAACACTTTTCTAACCATCCAGCAATGATGAACCGTATGCAGGATCACTGTTCTCCTATACTAAGACTTTAAACTTGGGAGAGCCTTGCCAAAGACACTCTTCCCACTTGTAGCCTGGAACCACCACAGCTGACTGGGGAATGGAGACTTTCCAGTTGGAAACAGTAAATAACATGGAGAAAGTCACCATGGCCACACAGCCATTTCCTCCTTTCTTTAGAGGTTGATTTGCAGCTTTAATTGGTTTGCAGTTGTGGTTTACAGCAAACAAGACCCCTCTTCAGTGATGGGCAGCATTCAACACTCATTGCATAAACTCTTCTAAGGCTGTTAGGAAAAAATTGCAGTGTTTTATGGCAAGCTGGTGGCAAAGAAAAAAATGTAGCATATCTATAATGAGAAAAAGTTACAAATATCATAGTCTCCAAAATTATCCAATTCTTTTCTTAAAACATTGAAAGTGGAGGAGTAATGTTTCAAATGTGAAGCAGACTCATTAACTGTCCAAGGTGGGCTGTGGGAGCAGAACTGTCTATATTGAAAAAAACATGGGATATAAGAGTTTAAAGAGAAGGAGAGTGAAAATTAATTTTATTAATGGGAACAAAAGAGATGAGGTTGTGTAAGGTTAAATGGACTATAATAAAGCATAAAAAAGTCTTTCCACTCTCAAGAGTGTGCCTGTTTGTAAAAGTACACTAAATTCTAGACACTGGAGGACTGACATTACTTGCAATATGAATATTGCTAAGTACTAAAGTGTTGCTACTTTTCTGTTTGAAATAGGTCTGATTATTGATGCTTTTGGTGAATTAAGAGACCAGCAAGAACAAGTGAGGGAAGACATGGAGGTAGGAAGCATGTTACATTTTTCATTGCTCTTGTTCACCTAGATTGTCACCAATTAGTGTTTTTGAGATAAAATTTATCTGTAACCACAACTTCTGCTTTCAGACCAAATGCTTTATTTGTGGAATCGGCAATGACTACTTTGACACAACCCCACATGGCTTTGAAACACATACTTTGCAAGAACATAACTTGGCAAACTATCTGTAAGTACGTTTTACAATTGGAATTATGATAAAAAGACCTTTCAGATGTAGTGTCATTTAGGTGCACACATTGCTGAAAATCCCAAGCCAGAATTCTACAAAGCTGAGGATTACTTCCTCTCCTTTAGGGTCTCCCCTCCACTATTGCACACTAATGGTTACCTTTAAGTGCGCACCTTGCACATGAGGTACCTTAGTAGTATGAGACCAGAAGGCACATCAACTCCTTATTCTGCTGGGAGGAAAGCCAGATATGAGGAAGGGTAGGGGACAGTTTAGTATGTTGCATTAGTGTGGAAGTTTTGGTTGTGACTTCTGGTGGCTTGGTAATGCTGAAGAGATCATAGAAAATTAGCTTCAATTTGATAAAAAAGAAAACCCAAACCAAAACAAATTCTAAAAAGTTCTTTAAAGATAAGCTCCAAAAAATAATTGACTCCATTCCTATAGTTCTTTAGTGACAGTGAAGTGTTTTGAAACCTTGAAGCAGTCAGGAGCTGTACATGTTTAGACTATACCAAACTCCCAAGAGTTTCAACTTTCATTAGCAAATATAGAGCAGACCTAAGAGGGTATTAAAAAAATTATTCTTGTTGCATTAATTACTCAGACAACAAAGATAATTAATTATACAAGCATTGCACAAGCAGAATGAAAGGAGAAGCTGGTGAAATCGTATAGCAATCTGGCTTTGGAACACTGCATCTGAACTTCTTTGAACTTTAAAAAAAAAATATCAATTGCTAAATGTGATTCAAACTTCTATTAATAGCCATAGTTTTACCAGTCTACAACATCCAAGCTTTTCTTACTATATCAAATTGCTTAGTTGTTACACAGAACCTCTAATTCACCGTAAATTAAAAATGGCAATTTTCTTCATACTAGAATATATAGTGAACAATCTTTTTACCCAAATTACCCCTTAATTAGACAACTGTTAAAATCAGTGTACCTTCCTTCCTTCACAATGAAAGCACATAACCTCATTCCAAATTCACTGCACCGAAACTGACCAACCATGAGTAGTATTACCTCTAAACAGGCCACAGTTGGTTCTTTACAGTCTTCCTAATTAGTTGAAGCACTCAACATTTGACTGAGCTCAGGTGCTGGGGAAGGATAGGCTCAGAACTGAGCTGTACAGCAGCAGTGCTCAGAACTCCTGGTGCAGCTCAGTATTTGCCACACTTCTCATGCAGTAGCCATAGTAACCTCTTCCAAGGTGACATGTTGGATCATATGTGCTCAGAATTTGGCATATGCCTAATTCAGGTATTGCTCCTCACACTGAAACGAAGGAAATGCTAAACTGCATTTTTCTACTTCTATAGATTTTTTACCTCTTAGCACTTTCACAGGAGACATGCTTCAGGACATAATTTTCTCCCTTAAATCAAGCACTTTAGATGCCTAGGAGTGTCATTGCTTTGCTGGTTGGCATAATATTCCTCACATACCCCAGACTATAAAAGGTCAGGCAGAGATACAATGTTCCCTGCATTAATACCCACTTCATGTGCTTGTTTCAGGTTCTTCTTAATGTATCTAATTAACAAGGATGAAACTGAGCATACTGGCCAGGTGAGTAGAAAATAAAATATAAGAAAAACCATTAAGCTTATCTTTCAACAATTTTATATTCCCAAGCCTTGTGGCTGTGTACCAGCAGGTGGAACTGATGTACCACTGAGAAGTGTGGATGATGCCACTCTCCCCAAGAGGCTACTGCCAGTGAAAGCAAAGAAGGGTTAAAACAAAAGGGAGGGGGAGAATGCTGCACTGTTTTTACCCAGCAGTGAACTTTGTCAGAAGTCAGTTCGTAGTACTCTTACAGTCAACTTATCCCTGAGTAGGAAATCTCAAATGCACCAGGTGTTGTTTATTCCCAAGAGGTTTAAGTAGTTAAGCTACTATATTGATAGTCAAAATCTATACATATGTGAAGATAGGTATTTGGGTGACCATATATTTAGCATTGTTAGGCCCTAAAGGCAAATAAATAATAAAATATCTAGAACTTAATTATATCTTCTCATTAATAAGAAGCTCTTAGGCAAACACTACAGAAGTACCTTTGTTTGTTGTCAAAACAAAACACATTTGCTCTGATATAAATAGACTGATTAATTTATACATGGATATTTTACTAATAGAGCTTAAATTTTGAGTTCCAGTGTTTTCACAATTCTATTCCATGGTAGCAGGCACAGTATGTGGTTATTGTTAAAAGTTTATCTACAACACTAACTGCACAATGACTGGTAAAATAAATACTCTTTCTCATTCTCAGGAATCATTTGTGTGGAAGATGTACCAAGAAAGATGTTGGGATTTTTTCCCAGCAGGGGATTGCTTCCGAAAACAGTATGAGGATCAACTTGGCTAATATCACAAAAGAAATGATTTATTAATGAACTGCTAAGATCCAGTATACAAAAAAAAAAAAAAATCTGTTATTTTCATGGCATAATTTCACAGCTTGTATTTGCTTTAAATGTCTTCAAAGTTCAAGACACATATAAAATTTGACACTATTTCAGAGGCATTTTGTACCTACCACATATGAAACAGGTCTTTTGTTGGAATTTTAATTAGCAAAAACTCAAAAACTATGCCAGATTAATTTAAGCCTTCCAGTTCAAACATGGCCTAAAATTAGAACAACTTTTTAACCACATCGTTAACCTGGTGTTTGGCAGTACAGTTGAAAGGGCTAAAAGGCATCTTAATTGCACATCTGACATTGAAGAACTTGAACATCAGAGACCGTACCTCAGAAAAAATAGTTCAACTAACTGCTGTCCCATTTTTCCCTACAGTATTTGCTAGTGAATGTATTAAGATACAGTTTGAAAAGCTTTAAGCAGTTAAAAAGAAATCATTTTCAAACACTTTGCCAACCTTGAAACATTAAAGTGCCTTAAAACTTCTGTAGACATAGCTATGCAAACTTTTTGTTAGTGTTCTAGATGAACAGATCCATTACCTGTATTGCTTTTCTGTCTTTCTGTATCAAATTGCACTTAAAGTTTGTTTATATACTACCTTCAATAACAGCTTATTAGATACTGCTGTTAAAAGACATACACTGTATCAAAATGAACACAATTTAAATCTTAGGCCAAAATAAAACAATGCTCTATGGTCACCTGCAAGTAGAAGTTAGGGTTATGTTTTTTTTTTTTTTTCCTTCTAATAAAAAGTGCCCACTGCAATAAAGTATTGTAAACCAAATATAAGTGTTGCTGTCATTTTTCCCATTTTTCTACAATACTGAGTTTTTGTGACAATAGTAACTAAAAACACATATATTCATTGTTCATCCACAGCTTTATTTTAAGGACTACATAGAGCAAGTACAAGCTGAAATAATTGTTTTCTTTCTGCACTGTAGCCTGCTTCTTTAGCAAAGAAAACTCTTAACTTCATCACAAATTTTAGACCTTTTTAATAATATCATTAGTCTTCAACAATTTTCAATCTTTTCTAAATTAATTTTGGTTGCACAAAATTTTAAGTGCCAGCAAAGAAAAACAGGCATTTGGCATACAGAGAAAGGAAATAACAAGGAGATAAAGAAAGATTCAAGTGTCTACATGTTTGCTATATTCAATTATTCATATGAGGAAATTTGAGCTTCAGGCAATCATGCTGTCCAGCCAATCCTCGAGCTCTTCTTCAGTAACATCTTTAGATGTATTTTCCTGCTGCTGTGATGATGTGCCCTTGTCTTCAGGCATATCTACTTTTAAAGGCTCTAGAGAAGTGAAAACAAGAACACTGAATATCTGTAAACAAATCCATATTACCTCTGTCCTGCACTGCTTTACTTTGAGTACACAACTGACTGCATTTCAACAAAATCTCTCCTTCTTGAAGAACAGCAAGTCATGTTCCAAAAATAGTTTCCATGCGCAACTTCATTTTGCAAAATCAATGCTAGTAAAGTTTGAAAGTAGTATTTAAGAGAAGCCATCAGAAATAGCTGTCAATTCTTCTGTACACTATTAGCACAGTGAACTAAAGGTTGATGAAGTTACACAAATACTTTATCTTCCCTGCAATAAAATTCACTAGCAGTACACTTTTAAAAAAAAAAAAATCTAAGTTTTTTGCTAAATCATAAGCCCACTGCTGTCTCACAGAGGAATTTCACTTAATGTTTAAAGTGAACTGACAATGGTGAAACTTCAGGTTAGTGAGGACCTAAAACTGAAAATGAATGGGCCAGAACGCAGCCGCAGATAAATGAAATGCAGTGTGACAGGTTATGATAGCAGACTACTGACTGGCTAATCGAAAATTCAAAAACATCAAAATGGAGAGCAGTGGAAATTAAATAAGGTCATGCTGGGGAGAAAACTTACCATTTTCTTTACAATCCATTTTCAAATCTTTCTCAGTTGATATGCTGTAGGATAATGTACCTGATGCAGGTCTATTTTCTGTATTAATGGGAGCCTCCAGATTCAGGAGAAGATCTAGTTCTTCATCCAAATGGTCAGTGTCTTGATTTGATAGTGGATGGACTCTTTGAAATGATTCTCCTGCATTTCTCCCAGAGCCATTTTTACTCCCAGGTTCTGATGGAGCAACAGAATTACCAAGAGGATGGGAGACCAACACGGTTTCACTTTGAGCCAGAGACTGTCGGAACAGCTGCTCTCTCTTCTTCCCATCTTCAAAAATTTTAGATTTCATCTGTGGGATCTCTAGAGGTGTTGATGCCTATGAGTACAAGAAAGGACTTGAGTCCTTATAATGATTATCTGTTATTACTATTCTGTCTAATTTCAATTATAATTCATACTTGCTATAGTTGATCACTTAATAAAGTACAGGAAATTTTCCCAGAATCGAATTAAGAAGCAAAAGTAAACTAAAGTTATCTTGATACTTTTGCAAAAGCAAATGCAAAATACAAACTCCTTTTATACCTCATTAGAGAATATGAGATTATATGCTAACACTAGCACTGACAGAATCATAGAATGGTTTGGTTTGGAAGAGATCTCAAAGATTACCTGTTCTAAACTGCCTGCCATGGGTTGGGAATTTTTCACTAATCCAGATTGCTCAAAACCTCAATCCAACCTGGCATTGAACACTTCCAGGGATAGGTAGTCCATAGCTTCTCTAGGAAAGCTGTTCCAGTGCCTCACCACTCCTACAGTCAAGAACTGCTTGAAATCTAATCTAAATCAACCCTCCTTCAGCTTAAAGGAGGGTTGTCCTATCTACACATGCCTGTGTGAGAAGTCCCACTCCAGCTCTGTTCTCTAGGTACTGGAAGGTTCTGGAAGACCTCTCTGGCACCTTCCGTTCTCCAGCCGGAAGAGTCCCAACTCTCAGCCTGTCTTCACAGGAGAGGTGCTCCAGTTCTCTGATCAACATTGTGGCCTTCCTCTGCACTCCAACACCTCTCCCAACCTGATAATCAGGTTTCCTTTGAAACATGGCGCACATTGCTGAGTAATGCTGAGCTTTTCATTCGCACCCAAAGTCCTCCTTAGGGCTAGTCTTAAACCTTCTGTAAGGGCCATACGTCTTGCTTGGACAAATGGATCCTTTTAAGAATTTTTTTTTAATATTTAAATGTCACTGGCTCTTTTTCCCTTACAATAGTGTTTTCTTTTTCACAGTTTGAAAGAACACTTTACTAATATTGCTGCTATCCTTCCACTGGAGAATAAATTATACTTCCTTCACCTGTACAATTGACAGTTTTACCTATCAGGATTAATTCATGGAGAAAAGCATGTTTGTTGATATTAGCTATGTAGAAGATTAAATCACAATTAACATACTTAGCAGGAAGAATGTGAAAGAACTTACAAAATTTTGGTGCAAACTTTTAACAGCTGCTAACAAGAGAAGCAAACACTAAAACAGTGCAATCATTCCGTATCAAACACTCAATACACGATTTAAAATCTAATATACTGCACATCCAAACATTTTGTTTAAGGCCAAATAGGCACACAAAAAGTGTCAATAGAGGGATATCCTCCATTACATGCCACTTGATACACATCTAAATAAATGCATTTACTTATATAATACATTCTACTTCTGTCTGAAGACTTATCATTCTTGCACACATTATTTCTCCTAAAATAATTGCATTTTCTTGTGAACTTTCACAGCATTACCTGCACAAGGTCAGCAGCTATATTCAGCCTCAGATGTAGAGGCAATTCCTGAAGGGCCTGGACCAAAGACTGGCAGTCAACAGAAAGTGCAGAGAACTGAAACACAATACAACAGATAGTACACTTGTGAAAAAAAACCACAACCAACCAAATACAAAAACATCCACCAACAAAAACCGTCAGAATTTTAATGTATTCCATTTCCTTGTCACATACATTCAATAAATCTAATGAAATACACAAATTAATAGTTTAAAACACACTTTTATGAAGCAGCTTGACTAATTAATAACATATAAACGCCTAAAATGCATATAATCCCTTAAGGTTTAAAAACAAGGTATAGCTAGAATGGTCCTTAGACAATACCTTGAAATTCCAAAGTAGGAAATAGTCCAGGGAGTCAACAATGGCATAAGAAGCTTTTCCAGCTGAAACATCTTTTGAACTGTGAAGCTTTCATGCAGTGTGAAATGCTATTATTTAATGAGTTGCCACTATTTCCTAAGCAATCATCCCATGCAGCTCCTGTGTGGCTAAATTCAATGCCTCAACAGAAGCCTTTTCATACTTCCCCATTTTTTCAAATGTTTTGATACTTCCAAAAGCAGCAAAGTATATATTTACAATTATTTCTAAAATGACACTCCAGAAAGATATGCTACTGCTGGTAAATGAGAACTTATTACTGCGACAGGTATTGAAGTTGCCTTTTCTCTTGACCCTTTTAAAAAAACAAATTTACACAAAATGGACCAGCAATATTTCTGGTTTCTACAGAACAGACCAGATTTCAGTAGTTTTAAAACAGACTTCAAGCTCAGAGTACAACAGAACATTCTGAACACGTTCACCATGGATAAACTGGCAAAGATAAATCTGATATCCATCACATATTTTAAAATCTGACAACAAAATGCTTAAGTTCAGTCTAATGCTCTGAGTCTGTATTTTCATGGAAGTAGAGAAGTTGCTTCCAAATCTCACTTGAAGAGACAAAAATTTGCCCCTCTCAATATGATGTAGACTGGCAGAGAAATTTAGAATAAATACTCATAAATTCGGAGAGTTTTGGGACATATCATAAGAGATTTGTCAAAGAAATTCATACTATTTCCAAAAGCCCGTCAACACCTTTTAACAGGCTTTTAACACCTGCACATGAAGCAAGAATGAACATCAAAGACATAGTGCATTCTCACAGTATATTTGCAAAATCAAAATAAATTTTTAAAAGAAACAATGCAGTCAATTTAACAGTTTCTTGTATCCAAATTCAGGGTCTGGTATCCAGTAATGACAATAAAAGGACTAAAAAAATACCTGATGTAAGAATTTTTCTTCTGTACTGAGAACTTCATTTTACAATGGATTAGTGATCACCATCAAAGATGATTGACTGGTGAAAGTAACCTCACAAAGTCTTTCGCAAATAATTCTTGTTGCCCAGCAATGAACTAGATGTTCAGAAAATAAGTTATTTTGACAGATATTAAGGATTTAACGTGTCTTCTGCACAGTTGCAAAAGACAAGGAAATTGTATGAATCTGGTAACACAAAATTTCTAAAAGGTATAACTGAATAACGAATATTTAATTGCATTTTGGAAGAGCTATGTATACTTACAAAAATATTAGCATGAATGAACATTGCAAATGAAGCTAAAAAAGTGGAGATAGGCAAGAGGAGGAAATGTTGAAGGTAAAGGAAAAGGGGTATTTTGAGATATAATAGAAGAAGGAATTTGATAACTAAGTAGAGAATTCTCTAGAAGTGGTGTTCTAATAAAATGCAAAGGGATCAAAGCAGTACGTAATAGATTATGAACATTTCATGGCACATAGCATTATTTGCTCAAAAAAAATAGTAGAGGCATACTTTGTTGCTGGAATTGTCATTTTTTTATTGAAAAATCCAAATGACTAATAACTCTGCTTTTTCAATTGCAGACCATGGTATGAATGAGACCATGACTTTTAATGCATTTTATCAATATGCAATTGAGCAAATCTACTTTTTGTGAAAATGAAAGACAGTACTCTTAATAAATTGAAATTCTGTTATTGTTGATGTCACTGTAACATTTCCATTCCACATTTGAAACTGATGCTTTGCCATCGCTTTCTACAAAAGATAGAGAATGAGAAATATCTAATAATTCTGCAACTAGTCTGCTTTATTCTGTTTCCTCATAACCAATTTATTTCAGTTTAAAATTCTCTAATACTGTACATAATGTAGACAGGCAAAGAACTAGAAACAGGTGAGTTAAGAGGCAATGGCCAGGAATTTGGCAAAGAGTATCTAGGATGAAAATTAGACTTGGATTTGCCTTCCTGGGAAAAGAAAGATGGGTCATAAAAAAAAAAGAGATATCAGGCTGAAGATCAGAGACAATGTGAAAAATTAGATAATGCTATGAAACCATCTGGGACAGGATTCTGGATTAAAATAAGAAATCAAAGGAAGGGCAATGGTGACAACATGTAGCTTCAGTCTGCTCACAATGGCTTTAGCCATTCAGGAATTAATTATTGTGTTCTAATCACCTAAATGCTATAATGAAAAGCCTCTGAGGAAATTATGAAGAAATTAATATTTGGGATACTGACACCATCCTTCACACTAGGAATGGAAGAACCGATAAAAAAAAATAGTCACTGAAAACCTGTGTTCCACTGAAGAAACAGGTGATGGTTTAGACAAATGCTGTATTTGGGTTTAGTTCCTCACTTTAATTTGACTTTGCAACCCTAAAGTACCTTTAAATACCTCTTTCCAGGGAATAATTATTGTAGTATTTTAGAAAATAAATAGCAAAATTTTAAAATTTGAATACATGTGCATGTTACAAGAGACACTCAAGCAGAGTTTAACAGCAATTTTAAGAAAAGCCTGGAAGACAAAAGCATATATTTTTCAAAAATTTAGGTGAATTGGATGAGGAAGACTGCTGAAGAGATTGAGACACTTCAAGGTATCCTGATAGAGAAAATAAGACACCTCTACTGCTAAGCTCCTTTTTATTCAAGCATAAAGAATTCATATACAAAAAATCTAGTTGGAATCCAAATTATTTAGGGCATGAAGTTCCAACCAGATGATATGAACTGTTAATTTGAAGGAACTGGAATGCTTCACAATCCAATATATGAATGTACTCTTACAGGTTTTGTTATAGTCATTCTATTAAACACTTTTCTCTTGAATACAGCTGAAAAAGGAAGGCTGAATTCCTGTGTCAGTAAAGCAAAGAGACAGTCCCTTATTTCTCTTCACTGAAGGGCTTTCTTGTTCTTTCCTCCCAACATAACTTAAAAACTGAGCCTGTGGTTTTGATTAGTCTTCAGTAGAAAACAAAAGTATGACGCCCAAGCACAAGAGCCTCTAGCATTAGAGAGAAGTCGATAAAATATACAGAATAAAGAGTGCTATTGTTGCATTAATAATTTGTTGCTGAAGGCACAGCTGCCTAGATATTCTGTCTGAGGTGATTATCTATATAAAATAATTTGAATGATAATTCTGTTACCTGCTTATGGCATATACTTTCTTTATCCCATTCCTTCTCATCAGCAAATCGAAACTGTGTAAAGGAATTTCCTAAGGGAAAGAAATAAAAAATATATTTATTTAAAAAAATAATAAAAATGTTTTCTCTGAAGTTCCCAACTCCAAAGAGGTAAATTCGGGAAATAAACCTCACCTCTTATTAATGCTGCTTGTATTCACAATATTAAACTTATTTGTGCCTAACTTCTATAGGACTTTTAAACACTTATTGCAAAACAGCACTAAAAAGGGACAACAAATACAAAACTGAATGATGAGGTGTTAGGTACTATGCCAATATGCCATTCAAAGGTCCAGTTTGGACAACATACTAGTAATACATAAACTATTCACAGAGGGAATGTCTTATGAACAGCTTTGAAAGTTCTGGAGATAGACTTTCTCTTACTAACATGGAAATATTTCTAAAAATAAATTGTAAATATTCTTTTAAATCACTTTGTACAAGCCAAATAAAGACTTTCTGGTGTCTGATAGCTATATTCTCTCTCTTCCTACTACTCCCTCCTCCAGCACATCATCAGAAAAAGGCACTGAACCCCAAATTCCAATTCGTATGCAAAAAGGACTGAATTAAAACAAATCCTTAAAAAGGATTAATTAAGTTAAATACATAGTTACAGAATCTTTTAACCTATTACATTCCTTCAAGCCAATAGAAACTTTTTCTTACTATAAGGGATAGTGGAATATCCTTTTGCCTGATAAGCAATATTTTTATTGCAGCCCCATGTTGTGTTATAAAAGACAGACCTACACATTTACTGAAAAAAAACCATAGAAGAAGTTCAGTAACTCAAAAAAATTAAGTATGGTCTGTAACAGAGGAAACATGAAAGACAAGGGTTGCAAGATGATGGCCAAAGGTACAGAATAAGAGAAATCTAAGATGTTTCTTCTTAAACTGTGATTTAGGGATAAATAACTTGCAGGAGCTCTCTTAGGATTAAAAAAAAAAAAAAGAAAAAGAAAAAAAAAAAGCCATGCAGAATGAAGGAGATGAAATGTGATCCTGAGAATTAGAGAGCTACTAAGTTGGTTAAAGGTCTGGAGGCTCTCTCTTTTGACAAAAGGCTGAGTGAGCTGGGCCTGTTCAGTCTCAAGAAGAGATGACTGAAAGGGGATTTCATCACTCTCTGTCAGCATCTGAAGGAAGGGTGTCAAGATGATCTCCTTGGTGGTGCCAAGCAATAGGACAAGAGGCAATGGGTAAAAACTGATGCACAGGAAGTTACAATAAAACATGAAGAAGAACTTCTTTCCTGTGAGCACTGGAGCAGGTTGTCCAGGGAGGTTGTGGAGTCTCCGGTAGAATTTAAAATTTATTTGCTGTGAATTTTAATTTGTTTTTTTAATATCTAACGTGCACTTCTAGTTTATTGCATTTCATGTATGGTGATTGGGTATGCAAATATACTCATATGCTAGTAACACTTAATACCTGGCACACTCACCACAATAATTTTCAGAATCATTACAGCAAGAAAGTGACCTTCTCAGCTGAATATTTGTATAAATATTTAAGGCCATTACATGCCCAGCTTTAATAAGTATTTCTTTGTTTTCAATTGCTTTATCTAACATGGCTCAGCAGGATTGTGCTGATATACCACTTTGCCTGATTGCCTATGTTTTGGGTTACTTTCAGTGTCTCCAGAGATTACTATGTTGAAAACAGCCATTATCAAACAGTACAAGTGCCAATTATTAAAACTAAGCACTGAAATTAATAATTAGATATCTAATAAGGTGGCTAATTTTACAAATGTTCAGTTCATACAATAAAAACACCAGGTTCCACGCTTTTTCGAGGGATGCTCAGCAGTGTGGAAAAAATAAGACCCTATATCTTTATGCTTCTATCTGCACATGCAAACACTTAACTTGAGCACTCACAGCTGTCTCACTACTGACAAAGGCACCTCCCCATTCATTGCACAAGAGGAAAAATGCCTCTGTTTCAAAATATCTAGAGTACTGCTAAATACATAGGAGCTAATACATAATAACTAATTCTGAAAACCAAAGAAATAAAGATATTAGTCTCCTGATTTTAAAATGGGTATGAAAATGTGAAAATTAATGTTTTAACAGCTCATATTTTAAAGGCTCTATTTAGTTACATTTGCAAAGAAGTCCTACCAAAACAGTCCCCAAAGTCTTCCAACTACTAGAATAAAGGCAGAGGTACTTTCTTCCCATATTCCCAAAACTGCTCTAGTTATTGCTCATACTGCTTCAAGGAGGAAATAGGTTTCTCTAATCTTATAAAAGAGTAAAATTAAACTAAAGGATTAGTTAAATGCTTTCAGTATCCGAGAATGATCAGATGCAAAGTAGCTAAATCAACCTACTTCATCTGGAAAATCCACTGGGTCAAGAACTGGTTTATGACTGTCCACACTCACAAAGTTGGCAATCATGGATCCTCAGTTTGATACTGTATTGCTGAATTAAAGAGTATGACTTAAACTGTAGTTTAATTAGGCTCTTTATGTAAGTTAACAAAGCATGCATTTCAAATGGAAAAGCATAACTACAATTCACAGTAGCATATTTAATGCAAATTATGTCAATGAGAATGTTAGTCTAACCAATTATCTTTTCACAAGTTCTTTTACCCTGAAAATAACCTTTTATTCCATGAATAGTAATCAAACCACTTGCAATAACTCTTGAGTTACTTTCAACATAAAAAACCATTTTTTTTCTTGAGAATAATTTTATGTTACCTAAAGTATCATTTGGCCTTCAAATACAGAATAGTTGAAAATATTGCATTCAAGTAAACCTTACTCATGGTCTTTAGTAACAGTCATGATAAGCAAATATTAAACAATACTATTCATTGTTTAAAATGTGAAATTATTATGAAAATGGCAGAACTAAACTACCTTGCTTTCCTACCACTCAAATATATCATAAACCTAAATCAATTTATTTAAATAAAAGGTATCTTTCTATTTTTCATTACCCCAATTATCTTTTCCTACAAGTATTCATTGAATAGCAGAATCAAAACACATCTTACTTGTAATCTATAGTAAATATTTTCTCATTTGTGAAATTTAAAGTCTAAAAATAGAAAAAATGGAAGAAAACCAGTTTTCAGTAGGAAAAATGCTATTAGTGGAATGATTTTGTTAATTTAAAACCTCTCTCAATCATAAAAAAACATTACTGAAGACAGAGGAAAAATACTCTGTAGTCTTAAGAGATGAAATTTGAGGATGAGAATAGCAAGGAATTAACATGATCCTTCTAAGATTGCCATGGCTGTAAAGAAGAGCTGCAAGTGCAAATATTATACTCTAAATCCACTTTTTAATCATTATCTCTCTTTTAGCCCCCATTGGCTACTGAAAGGTGCTATAAGGTTTCCCCAGAGTCTTCTCTTCCTCAGGCTGAAATCCCCCAACTCTTTCAGCTTATCTCCATAGAAGACTGATAGCAAGGATATTCGTAGCCTGCACTGCAAACTATACATGATATTTGTAATCAGATTCATAAAGAACAATATTCTTTGGCATAACTATGCAACACTACTAATCACATTTTAAAATAAAAACATCTGACCAAACAGCAGGATTATCTGACCAAGGCTAAATGATTTAAAATGTGCCACAGAGAAAGGAGTGAGAAGGAAGGATCTTTTGAAATCAGTGCTGGTTCTGGAACAAAGAGTGTCTGGTCAGGAAGAACAGAACTAATTTAACACATAAAGGAACTGCAGCCTATTGAAATTAAAGACAGATACCAATTTTTTTTCAAAGGAGAAGCAGGGTGAAGCCAACAGGTACCAAAATACACAATGATTCAAAAAGAAAAAACTGCAGAACTACACACAAAAAAATCCCCCAGGAATGCCTCTAATGCAGAGGCTAACAAGAGTCAGGAAAACCAAACAAATAAATTTATACCAAAAGAGGTTCAGAAAAACAAACAGTAGTACACTTGCTTCTTTATGAATGCCAGGTGACTAAGAAATATGACAGAAGGAACAGGAATGCCTTTAAAGCTTTAAAGACCCAAATGACAGCTCAAGGATACTGGGAACAGTGAAAGGGAAACTGCAGAAGACTATGCAATACCAGCTCAATGTGTTTGATGGGCAAAGTAGAAACTATCAGAAATTTAATGGCTATGCATATAAATACAGTGTTTTGGGGAAGAGTCAACATGGCATGTGGAGTTCTGCTCGTGATCTAAGACAGCTTCTTGAAAGAGCCAAAATATCATGCACATAAGCAGGATCTAGTTCATACAATTTACATGCACTTCCAAAAGCTCTCACTGACATCCCACTCCCTTTCCCATCCAAGACTTCAGAGCAGCAAAAAAGAGGAGGCTTTGTATGAATAAATAATTACCTTAAAGTAGGAAGAAAAGAGTCAATTGCCAATTTTCACATCAAAAGAAACAACCTGTGCAATTCTCTGGGGCTCTAGCTGTTTAATCTCTTCCCTCAATTAAAACAGAAGAGGAGAAAATGAAGTAACAAAATTTGCTGATGATACCATGTGTTAGTGCAGATGAAGGCAGGATGTGAAGAACAGAAGAACTCCATAAGACTGAGAAATCAGATTTTAAAATGGCAAGTGAAGCTCAATACTGAAAATGCAACAGGCAGTAATTCTCAAAGAAAGCTTAGAGCTAACCAACACCATTCCAAATCAAGATCAGTGCTACACAGTGTGCAAAGCAGCAAACTCTGTGTAATTCTTAAAAAGGCAGGAGTGAACAGCATGTAGAACATCATTGCACCACTATCACGTATTACCTTGAATACTGTGTGGAGACTTGGTTTCCCAAGCCCAGTCTCACAAAGTGTAACAACATTAGAAAATGCATAGAACAGATTCTGGATCAGAAGCAATTTAGTACCTTAAGCCAAAGGAGAGGAACCAAGGGAACATGAAAGATGTGAAAACAGGAAAAGGCATAAAAAGGGAGATGGGGACTAACTGCTCATTGTCTCCTCTCGCCTAGAGGCAGCAAATGAACCCAGCAGGTAACAGATTCAAAACAGATAAAATGTGGCAAATCTTTATAACTTGAAGCTGGATTGTGGGACTCCATGCCACCAGATAATGCAGACAGCACAACATGCAAGAAGGGATATAGGACAGCTATTTCTAAACACAAAGATTGCACATCTGGCTCAGATGTGTCCCTCAGACATAAACTATTTCAGGTCAAGAAAGTATGTGGGAGAGTAGCTTATAGTATAATACATTCAGGTACCTTAGCTCAGGTGTCTCCAGATGGACCTTGGGTCTGCTTCAGTAGAACCAACCCTAAACTAAAGCAAATAGCTAGGGGTTTTTTAACTTTAGAGCTCTACTCTTCTCTTAATTGGCTATCTTTCTGCAAAAAAAATAAGGAGGAAAAGTAGGCAATTCACAAATTTATTTTTAATCTGTAGCTGTGTTCTTTCAAGCCAATGCAAATTTCCCTTTTCTATTTTTTTCCCACATTTCCTTAAGTTTATCACTATTTTTCATATGTAATTTTTTATTAATTACTTCATTACTAAAGCTTTTGGAATGCTGCAAAAATGCAAAATATTAAACTAAAATGCATTGAACAAAAAAGTATATTCAATATTTCTGTCAACTACAGTAGCCTGGTTTTCATAAGCACCAATCCCATCTCCTCCAGTATTCACTTTTTTTACTGAATAAACAATAAAATTATATTTAAGGTTAAAGTTACTGATTTCCCCATAGGTAAGCTTAAACTTTTCATTAAGTTTAAGCTAGTCACCTTAAATATTTACATTTTTCCTGATGCTTTATGACATTTTCTAGTGTCATTTTTTTCATGCCACTAATTTATAACATACTTAGTGAGTTTTAAATGTCACTGCAGCCAACTTGCAATATTAGACAAAGTTTATAAATCCGCAGAACATACTGTTTTTTGAACAGTATCATTCAAGTAGGCTGGAAAAAAAAAAAAAGGAAAATATTGCTGCATAACTAATAATAAAAATGAAGCTTAATTACTGCACATACACAAGATCAATGGAATTTGTGATTATTCCTAGGGGTAGGGACAGAAACTCCTTTGGGTAAAAGGGAGAGAGCTCATATATTTTGATAAGACTAGATGCAACAGAGGAAAAAGTAGCTTAACAGAAGAGTTTGTGATCCACAAAGACTGACAGTCCAAGGGAACTAATGGTCTGGCTCTTTGTCGTATAAACAACTAAAGTCAGTCCAGCACATGTCCATATCAGGAAGCAAAGCTGAGATTCAACACTGGGAAGAAAAGAAGAAATGGCAAGGTTCCCACCCACAAAGAAAGATTTGCATAACGTCAAACTGTAGAACTCAAAAGAGGAATCCATTTGCATTTGCTGGCACAAGGTGCTCTTATATTCTGGCTTGTCAGGAGAGACATCATGAAAAGAAAAGACTCTAAGAGGAACAACATTCAATCAGAATGAAAGACGGTAATCCCAAAAGATCCCTGGTTTGCCCAGCCTATTTACAGGAACCACTGTGCGGCAGCCACAGAGAACGGGCACTGAAGGATGCAAAGAGCAGAGAGGGATGCACTCCTCTGCATTCTAGTAAGCAAAATTACCCCCTTAAGACCTTGGGGCAGACAGTACCTCTAAGCTCACACAACCACTTTAAAAACAAAATGAGAGCTTGGATGAACAGTTTAGTTTTATAGTGAAGTGAGGCTAAAGCTGAAACAGCACCCTTCATTGATACTTTCAATTGTACAGCTTGCAAATAATTCATCATCCTATCCTGCTAAGGTTTGATATTTGAGTAGCTAAAAAATATATCTCACAATGGGCAAGAGAACTTCTGCCCTTCATTAGGGAGGTTTTAATTTTTCCCAAAGTACACACTAAGACCAATTTTTACAGTGTTTCCAAATCCAAAGTTTAAATACAATATGCATTTCAAAAACACAATAAAAGAACTACTGTTGTTTAGATACCTCATATCATGCTAGATATAAGAAAGAATAACAGAAACTGCATATCAGTAGCTTTTGCTGAGTTGCAGACTGGCACTCACTGACCTAGGTTCTTTACCTTGTCCTATTTAAGAAAAGTTCCTCCCAATTATTCTTTATTAAGATTATTGTTCATTATACCTCCTGTATAAACAGTGCTGTATGGTATCCAGGAGGTGACAACATCATTGGATCAGATTTATTCTTTCACTTTTCCATCTAAGAGAACTTAATATCTAACTGTCATGCAGTTAGATATAAACGGCTCTTAGGTAGCTAAGATTAGCTGCATTGCATAAATTTATACCAGGATTACTACTGTTTTCTGTAAGCAGCATATTCGGTCTGAAAATTTCAAAATTCATTTCACAGCTTACTTGTCCAGAAAATGCAGGAATAAAATAAGTCCCCTTTATTTCATATTGTACCTCCACCCACAAAAAATCTATTTTTAAAAGAAGAATGCCCAAACTCCCACGACAGTAATCTTAGAGAAAACAAATGAACAAACTTAATAAATACTTTATTTTAACCAGCTTGTTAGTTTTTAGTTGCAGTAATAACCACTAATTAACAAAATTAGAGAAAAAAAAATCTCATATCTGCAGTCCTTACATGCCATACAAACACTGGAAAACTTCTCTTTTGCTATCCCTCTTCCCTCCAATTTTATAGTAGACAAATCATAGAGGTTTACAATATATTTGACAGTTGAACATTCAAACTTCAAGTTTAAGCATTTAAAGCCAGTCTTAATTTTGAATGGTAAGTACACATGTAATTTGACACCCCTCACATTATTAGAATTTCAAAACAGTAAAAAAATCTACATTCTTCTTAGCGCTACAGTTTTGACTCCTTATTCTTTGACAGAACATTTACAATGAAGAACATAATAGTATGATTAATAAATATTCTTTATGATGCTGTTCTGACTATTTTTAATATAATCACATCCAAATTAGTACTATCCTTCCCTAAAGCACAATTCACTATTCATGTAGGTGGTACATTATGCTCTGTCTATGAGACTATCTTTCAAAAGTATTCATAAATTATAGACAAATGTGCAGGCCTAAAAATATTCAAGCAGTTTAATACAGTGAGTATGAGGCTTGGCTTTCTTGCATTTATGGGGGGTTCTGCAAGATATGAGAAGTCATAGTAATAACATGAGCTTGCCAGATTTTTTTTTTTTTAATGAAACAAGAAAAGTAGCTTCAGAAAACAGGAGGATTTTCCTCTGAAATGTTAATAAAATTACAAGGATTACAATTAGCAAATAGTAAATCTCGTAAAGCTCCAGTTCTATAAGAGTGCAAGAGCCTGGAAAGCATTTCTTTGTGTGTGCAAGTTACTCATACCCCTCCAAAGACAGTAGTGGATTGACTTATCAGAGTATTCTGAATATCAAATTAAAATTAACAGCAGATTGGCAAATCTTCACTTGTGGTAAAAAATATAAGCAAACAGCATACTGGATTTGCTTTATCAAAGACTTAAAAAGCTAATACATTTTTGGTCCAAAATTTACAAAATTGTGCTTTTTATGATTACCTACTGTGGAATTTTCCCATTGCTACAGAGCAATGGTAAAGGCAAAGTTTCAAAACCTGTATTAAAAGAAATTAAGAGATCTTCTGCAAAGTGAAAAGAAAAAAATAATTACTTACTATCTACAATTCTTTGTCCCATGTTAAAAGTAAATTGTAGCCACGTAAAAGCTTCTGCTTATCTTTTGTATTACGTACCTTGAGGAATTTTCTAACAGATTTATCATAAGTAAATAAAGATTGGGTTAGCTCAACTGAAAACACCAGTACTCCTCATGCTAACCTCTGCTCTTGTGCTTTTGTCTTAAACATTCTACATTCTATAGCTTACAATGCCCCTTAGCAACAAATCCTGTAGTCTTCTTATGCAAGTTCTCCTTGTATGGAAGTTACAAGACCTTCAGCTCTCCCATAAATTAAGAAACAAGAATTGCTCGTGCAGAATGGAGAATTACAGTTTTCTGGATGACAAATACCATCTGGGCTATGTATTTACCACTGACACACAATGTTTCGCCTGTCTGAAAATGTAGACGTATTGGTTTTTATTTAATGATCTTCTGTATTCAAAGAGCAGAAAAATTAAATGTGCATTTTAATGTTGATTTTGAAATATTAATTTGAAGATTTTATTTTCCATCACACTATTGACATACTGTTAAATAGCATCATAGCAATATCAAAATTCAAGTTTTCAGATATAGAAGACTGTGACATATCTGGTAATGTTGGCTAAACTGAAAAATCATCTGTATCCCAGCTATTCACTAGAAATATTGTTTGCTGATGTTTTCATTTGTACTGCTTTTTTCTACAATCTAGTTCTACAGAATTTAAAAAAATGGCTTGCACAACTCTGGCCCCAAGGACATTACATCATGATTTATTTTAATTTCATGCTAAGGCCTCCCCCACCTATTCATTCATCCACCACTCTGTTCTGTTCTAGCCCTGTTTACAGGGTTTCTTTTATCTTTTAACCTTGTTTAAATCTATTCTTCCAGATTTCTGGTAATGACTGTGGTATTTTAAGTCCCTCTAGTCTACTTGAAATATAATAAGCAGGTGCTAATCAATGAATTTATTACTTTAGCAGGAACTGATCTGTGAATCATGCAGAAAATATTTTCTATTCTCTGCTCTGTCTTTTCAAATTGCATTTGCTATTTCACTGTGCTCAAAAATACCCGTGACATTTATCACACATTATTCTCAGTGTTTAATTCTGAATATATATTTCAAAACAAAAGGTTGCAACATTTTTCTTTTGTTTACAGGAGTTTCAAAATGCTTCCCTTTTTTTCTTTTTTTGTCCTTCCCCCCCACCCCGGCTTTTTTAATGTTTTCAGTCAGTCTTGCCTTACTGGGTGCATTAATTTTGATCAGTTAGGAATCTGAGAGCAAGGATTAGCAGACAATTTTAAGTTATTAGAATAGGTAAAAGATATTTAGCAGCTACAAATCTTAATGATATATATGCAAGAAGGAATAATAGTTTTCACAGAATAAGAAAAATCGCCCACCAAGATACTGCTCCTGTCCATGGGTTTTCCCACAGATTAAAAAAAAATTACCTTCTGTCTAAGCATACATTCAGGATTTTAATACCTCTTATGCTTTTAGTCAGCACCTTTAACATTTGTAAATACCTGTGCTTATTTTGCTTTTAAGCTTCAGAGCCTAGAAAAGAATTAGAATCAATAAAATTTTTAGGATGACAAGGTCACTTAGGCCTCTACTCTTAGCCTAACACGTTCAGTTTTCAACTCTCTTTAGATGGCTTAGAGGAAGTTTTATCCACAGGTTTCAGTTAGCATTTCTGAAGATCAGCCCAAAACCAGGAACAATTTTCTTAACTGTGAAGGAATGTACTGGGACATGATGGAAGTGAAAAATCTCTCTCCGTTGTTACCAAGAAATCTATCTGTGGTTTTCAAGGGACGGGATTCAAATTACTCACAGGGACAAAATAACTGTCCAATAATACCATGAAGAGATTTATAGGAAAAGCAGTTCCCTCATGTCTATTATCCTTCCACAATACATTTTTGTATGTGTTTTCAAAGACACAGAAGTGACAATGAAATGAGTATTTCCTACATAAACTTCTACAGATTCTTAAGTTTGAGACTACAACAGGAAACTGCAGTAAGGTATCTGAGCCCACTCAGGGGAGAGTACTTCGTCACAATGACTAGAAAATATTCAGAATAGAGCAAAAGTTCAATTCATTAACAAAAAAGGGACAATATGAAGACAAGAATAATATGTCAATCAAATTATACATATAAAAAGCAAAACTTAAACTTAAGAAACCAAAAAAGAAATTTCAAGGCTGAGTTTCAATTCAACTAAACACAGTTTCATCCATTCCTAATTTCTTACTCAGAGAACTTTGTATTCAGGATTTTCAACCATGGGTCCTATGTGCTACCTCTCTGGGACTCTGAAAAAAGTGATGAAAGCAACATGAGACTATGTAGTGTCACCACTGGATTCCACACCACACAGGGGGGAAAAAAATCAACCAGAGATCCGTAAGTAAAAAACTAAAGTCCATTCAGGTCAGTTTAACTACTGCAGTAATTACATTTCATATTACATATGGGGGTTTCAAGGGTTCTCTGAAAATCCAGTTAAAAATATACTTGAATTGTCAAAGCTCACTTGTATTTTATTCATCTTTGGTTTTGAGAGGTGAGCTGTTCTTACCTGCTGGCTGCAGCTTCCTTACCTTACATCGAATCCATGATGAGTCACTGAAGAAACTAGACATACTGCAAAGCTGGTTTTGATGGATGACTCAGAACTAAGAATTAGCAACCATTGGAGGGATAAGAGAAAAAACAGAATTTGGAAAGGTCATATATTTCTAGATATATTTGAAACTAAAACTTAACTCCTCCTATGCTCTCAAAGACTGTGGTGCGGAAATATTCTGGACTAATGTCAGGAGGAAGTATGGTACAATGGGTTGTCACACTATTGTACTTAGTGATCAATAGATTGTTGTGCTTTTAGAACTCTTTTTTTTATTACACTGTATAGTAGCACAACAGCCATGATTAGTAATTTACAAGTACTGAACCTAAGCCAAAAAAAAGGTAAAGAAAAGCAAACATACCAAAAAACACCCTTAAGTACTGAAAAGCCATGCATCTCTCTGGTTCTATAAAAATAAAGACAATAGAGGCTGAAAATTGCTCTCATTTAAAATATTCTTTTGAAAAATATTATCATCCTCACTGGAATTTATGAAGTTCAGAAGAATAAAAAACTATTTGGCAATTGATCATCTTAGAAACAAGCTCTCTTTCTATGACTGTCAAAATGCACACTAGTAAACTTTGGAAAATGCCACCTACTGAATTAATGAGCAATCTTTGTGTTTATCATGTCCAAGCTTCACTGAGAGACTTTCTAAGCAGGATAATAAAAATAAGATAGAAATCACCAGACTAGTGTAAAGTCAGATATATCCTCACTATTGTTTGAACCTGCAAATGGGAAAGCAACAGCCACATCCATCAGCCCGAGCTGGAGAGACCCTAGGGTCTCTGGGATAAGCAGAGGCAACCCCCAGGAGCTGTTGGAGGTGTTCGTGGTGTACAGTACCCCAAAACAAATAATCAAAGAACTTGCTCCAAATTTTTTGTTCTGAATAAAAATGGCAAATCTATTTTTAATTGTCACAGAATTTATGGAAGAAAACTAAAGTACAATTCAATAGGTTAATTATCACCAGTAATTGAATTCAGTAATACCAAGTTCAGTAAACGTGCATTTAAAAAAGACTATATTGCTTCAGTGATATTAGGGAAGTATCTTTGATGAAAAGATGTAAAAGTGAACATGGTTACCAGATGAATGAGATCTCTTTAGGAAAGAGCCAGTTTCATGCCTTGACTCTCATCACTTCGGTATAATGAGAAATGTTATATCTGTCATATTCATTTACAGCAGTATTGTACAATGTGAATGTCAGCTGGAGAGAACTATACACACATGCTAGGTACACTCACTAGGTTCACTGACTATATAGAGAAAGCATAATCCAATGTATTTGATAATGTTACGTACAAAGAGAAAGATTACATTATTATTTAAATCTTTTCATCTGAATGTGTCTTCTTGTACGATTTTTCTACAATTAGAGAAGTTGAATTTAGTAGGTGTAATAAAATGCTTCTCACTCAGATTGAGTAAGATTTGATTGGTTATAGTATATCACACTGCTTCCTCGAGCTTCCAGCATCAGGTATGTCCTGAGAATCAAAGCATATAGATTGTACATGTTTCAAATAACTAAGACAAAATTGCTAGGCAAACTTTAACTTATAATTAATTTTAGATTACTTGACATTAATAGCTCAAGGTAGAAAAGCATGTATCACCTGATTTCATCATAAAAACATGACTCCATACTAAGCTTATCTTCTAAAATTCTGGAAAGTGTTGCTCTCTCAAAAAAGCCCTCTATGCAGTTTTTCTACAATGCACTTATCTAGACTGTAGATTCATTTTGCTTCTTCCATGTCTATAAATAAATAATGAAAAAAGCTATTGCATGAGGTGCTACATGTCTGTAAGAGGTCACACACCCTTAAAGGTGGCCAAGTTCATACTGGAAACTGCAAACTTGATTTCACAGTGCAGTCTGGCATCCATTGACAGTACATTTATTCATGCTTCTGTGAGCCCAGAACCATGGCCATAAATATTACAGGGCAGACATAGTGAAAAGGTCTTTGTAAGAGGCTACCCAAAGGAAAAACAAAGGAAGTCCTTTTTATCTACATAGTATTTTCAGGCTTCCTTTGCTACCTTTGAGATCCTTGTACCAGACTAATAGCTGCATTCAGCAGTCTGAGAGTTTACTCACAGGAAGTGTCTTTCATAAACCAGACATCTTCATATATGAACAACTGCACAGCCTGGCAGAACACACATGGATCACTACAGTGTTTTCCTGTTCTCACTGCTATTGAAAGGTAAAAGCAGTACCATGTACAGCTGCTTAATGTATTGTAACATAGTCCAAATGAAGATCTCCAAAGCTTTTTGTTGGCTAGAGCAGCACTTACAAAAACAGGCACCTCTTGTATTGCTTTTAATCTGATAATGGAAATAATACAGTGACCAATGTGAATACAACAGAGCGGATGAAATAATTCAATTCCCTCAGTTGAATTCACCTTCTTTCTTTGCAAGCAGGACGTAGCAGTCTCCTCATCTGAGATAAGAAGATACAAATCCCATGCCTGCTGCAATGCTAAGGGCTTATTTTTTCTTTGAATAACTTTTCAATGAGACACATTCATGAGATTAGGGAAAGAACAGCTGGAAATAGTATGTGCATTTTATGGCTTGTTTACTCCTTTGATCTTCATTGGGGTTCTCTATGAGTAATAGAGGTCACTTTCCTATGAGTAAAGGATTATGAAGAGCAGCTACAGTCAAGATCAAACTTATAGTCCAAAAGTGTGCTACCTGGGGAACACTGTGTCAGCTGACCTTCCTAGGACTCTTTGTAGGTTTTAAACACACAGAGAATGCAGCCTCAAAACTCTTATAATGAATATCCCTGTAGTAAAGGTTCATCAGATAATTGTATACTGATAAATTTTAGACTTGCTTCTCTGCACAGGTACTTTAACACTTTGTAGCTACATGAGAGCAAGAAATACCACTGTTTTGTGCAGCAAAATCAATAATTTAGACTTAAATAAAAGTAGTTAATGTTTTGTTCTATTATGAGCCCTAATAAGACTGATACATGTATAGATGTTTTACTTTCCCAGAAATAGAAAGAACAGTGGGTTATGTAAAAACTCTCAATGTATTTTTCATTCATGCATTGTGAATGTAACATTGGTGCCTAGTGTTTTACTGAAAAAAAGCAACAATAGTGACTTTTACTGAAAAAAATACTTCACATTGTTAAATAGAACTCAATGAAATCTAAAGTTTTAACAGCATCTATTTCTATTCCTGAAGCATATGACATCTAAGTATAAGCTATAATTTTCATTTAAAATCTAGGCATAACAGAGAACTAGTGTATCTGTTAAAATGGGAGTTTTGATCTCAGGGTACTAAGTCCTTGGAGAGGAACAGGAAAAATGGATGAGGGATCAGAGAATTTAGTTCACATACTTTTGTCACTGAAGTGACAGTCAAAGATTGATTTTGAGAACAGAAATATGAACTTCATGGTCTCAGATTATGACAACCAACCTCGTTGATGACACTTGATTTCTTCCCACTGTCTTAGTTCCTAAGATTAGACCCCCTGAGCAGCTATAAAGGCCTTTTTATATGTATTGAAATCTTTACAGGATATTCTAGTTATTTCTTATAAGATACTGAAAATCATCTAAGACAAAAAGTAAATACAATTTTTTTTAAGTCTGATTTAAAAAATGGCGGTTATTTCCGCTTTTTCATTTTAAAATACTTTGTACATAAATCCACCATCAATAAGGGCTCATTACTCTACTCAGCAACATGTTTCTTCTGTGCATTTTTCTCCTGTAACCTACAACACTCATTGGCAGATATTATTTAAAAAATTAATATATAACTAATGAAGTACTGACAAAGCAAAAAGTCACAAATGAATGACAGAAGTAAAGCTACCAATTATTTATTAGAACTCTGTAATTTGTTCCACCTACTTTTGCAAGTGTATATTTTGTAATACTTGATTGAAGTTAATATAAAAATGAAAAGTGTTACTAATAATTTTTTGGTCTCTTTTGAAATACCTACTTAGCTGCAGTAATCTAATGGAAGTTTCAACAAAAGTTAAAAAACAACTAATACCTGACAATCAAACACACATAAAGCAGACACACCAAAGAAAATCTGGAATTAGAAGAATAACATTCCAAATAAACACACTAGTTGAAACTGAAAACAGAGAAGTTTAAGAAATTGCAATTAAGAAACAATATCAAAACTTTTTTTTAAATCTTATTTTAAAATGAATGAGATGTTTCTTCAAGACAGCTGCATTTGGAAGTGCACAAAAATGAACAAGGATCTACTTCAACTAAAACATATTTCAATCAGTTCAGAAGTTTCATTTCCACAACTAAATAAATTACTAAACATTTTTTCTCTGACCAGTCTCTATCCCTCAGCTCCACATGCTATTACCTTTAGATAGCATTCTTTGGCAGATAAAAAGGAAAAAACATTTTGTTTAGCAAAATCTGAAGGAAGCAATCAGACATATTTAGGTAATTTTTACTTCAGGCTACCAGCAAAAAATTAGACCACTTCATTTTAGGAAGTACATGGTTATATCTATGATCCTACATTTCTATTCTAAAAAAAACCGGTTAACTTCCCATATAACTAAAATTTACTGAGTGAAGTTTATGGCAAAAGGCTTTTTATATTAATCTGTGCTGTCATCCTTCATACCCAGCAGAAGTGTGTAAATGGCAGTGCTCAGTGACTGCCATACAGGTGGTACTTGTAAGCACCAAGCTTCTGGCACAGAACCTACTGCTCAGTCACATCCTAACGATGTGTGTCCCACTCCTCTCTGCTTCCCTCCACACCCCAGCTCTGTAAGCATCCACCTCCTCCCTTGGGCTACCTCTGGGGGCTCTCCTACTCAGTCTCCTTGTGCTCTGGTCCCAGATGTACAGCTGCAAATCCTCCTTCATGCTGAATCCTTACTGAGCTGACTCACTTTGTTAAACCA